TTACCCAAGGAGGGTGGAAACACAAGTTCAAGGCCAACTTTAAGTTCCTTTCTAACTCTAATCTGCTGTGTTTCTGCATTTCTATTTTTAGGGACTCTCAGATACATTTTGCTTTTCACTTTCAGATACTTTAGTACAAGTGGGGAAAAAAAAAACACAGGGCCATTCACCAAAGCACTATTTGTAATGATAGATAACTGTAAACAATCCAAATGTCCATTAAAAGAACTATGGGTTAATAAATTATAATGGAAGAGGATTGCCAGGGTTACCAAAGACTTCTGTGTTGCTTAGAAAAACTATCTAAAACATATTGAGGAGATGTTTGTTAGCCTTCATCTTAGATGACCTCTTGCCTCTTTTTCCCACATGTTTTCTTCCCTTAGCTTCTTTGGAAGTCTCTTGTTTTCCTCCTACCTCTGTTCCTTCTCTATTCTCTAATAGAGAATGAGAACCTCTTCTTCATGTTCTGACTGCTAATTGTTAGCGTCTCCAGGACTGAGTTCTGAGCCTTTTCTTCATTGCACATTCTTCATAGATGATATCATACACTTACACAGCTTTCATACCATCTGTGGACAGACAAGTCCTAAATTTATATTGTTCATTCAGATCTCTCTTTCCAGCTCTAGAACATGTGTCTAAGCACTGTCACCACCAAGGGGATGTTTTGGTTAGCATGGCTAACATACAACTCTTCATCTTCCCCATCCCCAACTTGGCTCCTCCGTCCATTGACTCAGCTGTTGAAAACTTGGGAATCATTCTTGACTTGTTCCTCATTACCAGTCCTGTTGATTCGACTTCTGAAATATACCTCAAGTCTGTTCACTTTATCTCCAGTGCTCCCTCCCTGGACCTTCCAGCATCATCTGTCACTATTGCCACCTCCATCCTGTACCCCGACTCCAGTCCATTCTCCACACAGCATCCAGTGCTCTTTTAAAAACATAGCTTGGGGACTCTCTCAGTTGTTCAGAGGTTGTTAAGACTCTTGCACTCTCTGGGGAGCTAAGATCCCACATGCTACTCAGCATAGCCAAAAAATAAAATAAAAACGCAGCTTGGATTAATGACCATTCATTGTACCATTGACCATTCATTCATTGTACCTAAGATTACATTCAGAATTCTTAGCATAGCCTGCAAAGCCCTTGATGCCAGGCATCATCTCCTGACCTCTGCCTTTCTCAATGTGCTTCAGCAACATTGGAGTTCTTTGTGTATCTTATACATGGGAGACACTGTCTTGCCTTGGGGACTTTGTGTGTGCTCTTTTTCTGTGCCTGGAATGCTTTTCTTGCTTTGTTTTGCCTGGCTGACTCCTGATCAAACTGCAGATTTCAGCCTAAAGGTCATTTCCTCAGCAAGGCTTTTCTTCACACACACACACACACACACACACACACATCACCCCACCCCACACCCGCCTTCTCAATTCAGTTCCTTTGTTAGGTTGTATAATAATACCCTGCCCTTCTTTGAAAGATTTATCACTATAGTATGTGCTTAACATTTAAACTATAAGCTGTCTGAGAGCAGGAAGTATGCCTTTTTTAAAATTATTTCTTTCACTACTTTTTCTCTAGTGCCTAGAACATACTTTTTTTTTAAATTTTTTTGCCGGTGCCACTTGGCCTGTGGAGGCTTGTGGCATCTTAGTTTCCCAGTCAGGGATTGAACCAAGGCCATGGCAGTGAAAGCACCAAGTCCTAACCACTTGGCCACAAGGGTCCCTGGTGGCTCAGATGGCAAAGAATCTGCCTGCAATGCAGGAGACCCAGGTTCAGTTCCTAGGTCAGGAAAATCCCCTGGAGAAGGGAATGGCAACCCACTCCAGTATTCTTGCCTGGGAAAAGCCCATGGACAGAGGAGCCTGGTGGACTACAGTCCATGGGGTCAAAAAGACTGAGTGGCTAACACTTTCACTACTTCTTGATTGAAAACTCAACCTGTTCTAAAATGGAGAAAAGTAGATGCAGTATAGTATGTATAATATTATTTGTTACAAATATGTTGCAAATACAGTATTATTTTAAATTTTATATATTTTAGATGTTAATCTCTTGTCAGATATATAATTTTCAAATATTTTCTGGCATTTCATGGTTTGCCTTATTGAAAAAACTGTCTTTTCCCTGTTAGATGGTCTTGGCACCCTTGTCAAAATCCTTTGACCATATATGTGAGGTTTTATTTCTGGGCTCTCTATTCCACTCCATTGATCTATATGTCTGTCTTTATGCTGTTACCACACTCAATTTTTAAAAAAAATTTTGGTAATATATACAGAACATATAATTTACCATTTTAACCATTTTAAGTATGACATTTCAGTGGCATTTAGTCCATTCACACTGTGCAACCATGCTTTTGTTCTTTTTATAGCTGTGTAGTATTCCATTGCATGAATACATTATAATTTATTTACCGGTCCTGTGCTAATGGACATTCAGGTTGTTTTCAGTCATTTGCTATTACATTTAGTGCAGTGACAAATCTAATGTAAAAGTTATTTTTGCTTATGTTAGTGTACCTATAAGATAAATTCTGGAAACAGAATTGGCAAATTGTAACATTTATGCTTTTGTAATTTTTGTAAAATTGACAAAATGCCTTCCCTAGAGGTTTCATTTATTTACCCTCAGTGTATTAGCTTTTTTTTCCTTAAAAAATGTTTTTTCCTACTTAGATATGTTCTTAGTGCTGTTTGAATTTTTATTTTGAGGCTAAACATTCTTATTTTTTGTTTGAGTCACTTGATATTTTCTGTGAACTCTGTGTTTATGTTTATGCCCATTTTTCTATTAAGTTGCTTTTGTTGATTTCTTACTGATTTGTAAGAGTTCTTTGTGTTTTAGGAAAATTAGCCTTTTGTCTATAATATGTTTCAAATATCTCTCTTGCTTGTTATTTGACTTACAGCAGTTCTAATCCCATTTTTTTTTCATAAGCTGTGGTCAGTGAAATCCCAATTGTTTTTGGAAGTTCTTTCACCCTACCCTTTAAGAAAACTCCACTCATAAATCCATGGCTAATTCATCTCAATGTATGACAAAAACCACTGCAATGATGTAAAGTAATTAGCCTCCAACTAATAAAAATAAATGAAAAAAAAAAAAAGAAAACTCCACTCAGTTTGAGAGTATTACTCAGTCTAGTGAATGAGACACTGCTGCTGCTGCTGCTGCTGCTAAGTCACATCAGTCGTGTCTGACTCTGTGCGACCCCATAGACGGCAGCCCATCAGGCTCCCCCGTCCTTGGGATTCTCCAGGCAAGAACACTGGAGTGGATTGCCATTTCCTTCTCCAATGCATGAAAGTGAAAAGTGAAAGGGAAGTCGCTCAGTCGTGTCCGACTCTTAGCAACCCCATGGACTGCAGCCCATCAAGCCTCCTCCATCCATGGGATTTTCCAGGCAAGAGTACTGGAGTGGGGTACCATTACCTTTTCCATGAGACACTGCTTCCTGATTGTTAAACTTTAAGCGGTAGTAGAAACTGGAGGAGACCTTAGAAATCCTCTCACGATCACTTAATTTTGTGGATGAGGCCCAAACAAGTTATATAACCCAGGTTACGTAGTAGGAAAGCAATGATATTAAATCTAGGAGTTTCCTCTGGCTTCCATTTTGGGTTGGGTTGTTCTATTTAACACACACACTAAGGAAGTTCTGAGCTTGTGAAGGTATTTATGAGTTGAAAGTTAGTTTTGGTTAGGGAATGGACTCTTTCCCATATTGTTCTTTATCTTCTTGTCTCATCTCCTTTTCCTTGCTCAAATGCCTTGTAAATTCTGAAAGTCTGCCCTAAAGCAGGAACAAGTGACCCATTGACCAAGCCCTTTTCTAGGGTTGGGGGTTAGGTTGGTGAGTTCAAGGCCTGCAGGCCCAAGAAATCAAATCAGTAAGTTCCAGGCATGCAGGCCCCACATGGTGGGGATTCTTCTAGCGATAGTTCTGCCTCAGTGTCTGACTCAGAGGCTCTGAGGAAGCCCGGTTAAGACAGTTCTGAGTGGTCTGGAGATTTGCTGTGGCCCGGACGTCCCAAGCCTTTTTTGCCTTCAAATGGAGGAAACCTGATCACCTCTGAAAAGCCCTGGGACTTCAGTTGTTCCTCACGAATTTTCTGAGCAAATAGTAAAAATGATAAAATAAAATGATTGAAAGTAATAATAAAATTAAAGGAATACAATTACAGAAGCCTGTTTATCAACTCTCAGATGCCATCGACTATAGGCAGGGCCATTATTTTATGCATCACTAAAGAAAAAATACTGTTAATTAAAAGGACTAATGCTTGCTTGCTTTTCTCACAAATCTCTCTTACACATAAATTAAAAAAAGGAAAACAATTTTTCTTTAAATGGCAAATCGAAGTGTATTCTCATTAAAGACATTTCAGTGGCATTTAAAGCATGTATAATACCTTCAAACATATTAAGTGAGCAAAAGTGACGGTACCAATAGCTTAGGCTAAACTTACACAGGTACAGGCCATATGACTACTTCTCGATCATTTGGCCGACAAGAATTGTAAGATTTTAGAGGCATTAATGAGTGGGGAAAGTGCAACCTAGAGTTAATGTAATACTGTATCCTTTGACTAATTCCAAAGCATTTACATACATGGCTTTTTATACATTTTTATACATCATTTATTCTTCCCAGCATTATGGTAGATTGTTTTCTGGGTGTGGAAAGAGGTTGACTTGCCCCAGATCACAATAAGTGATGAAACTGACACTTAAAAACCCCAGGCTTTCTGCTGTCTCCATTTTCCCAGCGTTCAAACTCATTGTCTTGGCCCTTTCTCTTAGAGCAGTTGACTGCAACGGTGCCAGTAGTGAGGGCTGCCCTGATTCTCTGCTTGTGATAGAGGTGACTAGTGATAATCCTTGGCAGAGATAGGTGTGCAGAAGTGGTTTTCTTGAAGTTTGAAAGTGTAAAAATTTAAGTTTAATTTGAGGACATTCTCTTCTCCCCCTCTCTTCTCTAAGGTACCAGAAAGCAGCGGAAGAAGCAAACATGGACAAGAAGAGAAGTGTAAGTATCTGGAAGCCCTGGGACATATGGAACTTCGTGGTCACAGCTCATGTGGCCCAGCCACCTGCGGCCTCTGCGGGACCCTGGGTTCTGTGTCAGCTGAGCCTGGCCTTTGTGCCAGCTGGTCTCATTGGTGAACCATTTGCTCAGGAGAACTTGGCTCAGGTGCAAAGAATCTTATTTTTTTCCCTGAGGTTCTCCTTTGAGCCACTTTTTCTTTCCGAGTTGGGTGAAAGACAGAAGGCCAAGTACTTTGCTTGTGGGTATAAAATGGCTTACTGCTTCTGCTCAAATCAGGAGACGGGGCTTCCTAGGCCATTTCTTTTTTTCCAAATCAAACAACCAGAACCTCTCTCTGCATTTAAAGGGTAGCAGCTGTGCAGCTGTTGTCATTCCCCTGGGTTCTTGGTTTAAAGCAAACTTCTTGACCCAGTCTAGTTAGCAAATTTCTTAGCAGCAGGATCCACCAAAGGCGAAAACCTCAGAACCAGCTCATACCCGTTTGTACATTTGTACTTTCCCGCTGGCTGACTTCCAGTTGGGCTGGGTAAGTGTATTTCTTTTGAAATCTTACTTGATTTCTTCATATGAGGGGAAAAGCCTCACATATTTGGGCAAGAATTCTTCATTTGTCTGGCATTATGAAAATATCCTCCTGGCAGTTTTCAGCACCTAACCTATTTAAATGAGCGCAAAGCATGCCTCTCTCACTTTGTCTTCTCTAAGGGGGCAATGCTGACTGGGTCCTTCACAATTTTCATGTAATTCGAGAATGGAGCCCTTCTGGTGCACTGTAAGAAACCTTACCATCATTTCCCTCGACTACTGGTTTTCTTTTCTTTCCTACTCTCTCTCTTGCTTGTTATTTTTCCCCTTTCTCTTTTCTTCATTCCTTTTTTCCTTTCAGTCATCCATTTTAGCAAGTTTTCAGAGTGCCCACTATATGCCAAGCACTGCTTTAGGCACTAATGCAGACTACATCTCTGCCACCATGGAATTTATATTCTGGTGGGAGAGACAGACAATAAAGATGTAGCAGGTATAAAACAAAATGAAGCAGGTAAGGGGGATGAATGTAGTGGTCAGGGAGACATTTGAGCAGAGGTCTGAGGACAGGAGCTTGGGAGAAAAATAATTCAGGCAGAAGAGAAGAGCACATGAAAACACCTCAAGGCAAGAACATCCTAAATGTATTTGAGGAATAGGAAGAGAAATGTCATGTCCAGTTGTTGTGAGGACATGGGCCTTAATTCTGATTAAATGGGGGCCTTTGAAGGGTTTGTGCAAAGGAGTAATGTGATCTGACTGAAATTTTAAAAAGAGGAGGAGGAGGTTAGAGGAACAGTAGCGGAAGCGTGAAGACCAATTACAAGACAATTGCGGTGATTTAGGCAAAAGATGATAATATATTGGACTGGAGTAGTAGCTATATGGGCTTCCCACATGGCTCAATGGGTAAAAAATCCACCTGCAGTGCAGGAGACGTAAGAGATTGGGTTTAGTCCCTGAGTCAGGAAGATCCTCTGGAGGAGGGCGTGGCAACTCACTCCAGTATTTTTGCCTGGAGAATCCCAAGGACAGAAGAGCCTGGCGGGCCACAGTTCATGGTTTGCAAAGAGTCAGACACAACTGAAGTGACTGAGCATAGCACAGCACACAGTACCTATATAGGTGATGAGAAGTGGTCAGGGTTTATACTGAAGGTAGAGAGGAAGAATTGCAACAATGCATTTGGCCCAAACACCAGGAAAAATGCCATTGAGATCAGGAAGGTGGCAGTAAAAACAAGTTTAGAGAAGGGAAAATATTTGTTAGAAGCTCAGTTTTGGACACGTTAGATGTAATTCTTTATTAAGACTTCCAAGTAGAGATGTCACATAGGAGCTTGGATGTACAAATCTGGTATTGGAAGAGATCCAGCCTGGAGATGAGATGTGTGTGTATCAAAGTATCAGTGGTTTGTAAAGATAAGAAATGAATGAGATCACCTGGGGATTGAGTGTAGCTAGAAAAGAGGTCTGAGTACTGAGCTAGGGGCACCTTGCCATTTAAAGGTTGGAGAGAGAAGAAAGAACCAGCAAAGGAGACTAAGAAGGAGCAGCTCGTGAGATGCAGTGAAAAAAAAAAAAAAGAATGGAGTACCAGATGTCCAGTGAAGAAGGTGTTTTTAAAAGGCAAATTATCGAGTCAAACACACAGATAGGCTAAGAATTGACAATCAGATTTGGCAACATGAAGATCATTGGTCACTTTGTGCTGTTTGGCAATGATGGGCTAAAGGCCTGATTGAACTAGGTTGTCCAATCAAGACAGTCGGATAACAAAAGTTGATACCACAAGTGGAGATAAACATTTATGGAGCATCTTTTATGTGTCAGGTCCTGAAAGCACTAAGAGGAACAAGATGTGTTCCCTGCCTTCAAAGAACTGCTTAGAGTTTGGAAAGTAGGATTTATTTTATTTATTTTTAAAATCAGATACCATTCTTTTTTTTTTTTAATCTTTATTTATTTTATTTTTGGCTGCGCTGGATCTTTGTTGCAGCGTGCGGGCTTTTCTCTAATTGCAGCACGTGGGGGCTACTCTCTAGTTGCAGTACTTAAGCTTCTCATTGCAGCGCCTTCTCTTGTTGCAAGGCATAGGCTCTAGGCATATGGACTTCAGTAGTTGTGGCTTTCAGGCTTCGTTGCTCCCCGGCATGTGGAATCTTTGGACCAGGGATTGAATCTGTGTCCCCTGCATTGGCAGTTGAACTCTCAACCACTGGACCACCAGGGAAGTCCCACAAAGTAGAATTTAGAATCTCAGTGTGGTAAGTACCATATTAAAGAAATATGCAAGGTGCTGGGGGAGAATTAGGAAGAACTCATAACCTGGACTATGTCATGTCAAAGAAGACATCCCAAAAGAAGTGGTGTCTGACTGAGCCTGAAGGATGACTAGGAGTTAGCTAAACAAAGAGGGCAAAGGAGTGGTAGAGGAAGCAGCAGGTGCCCAGTGTGGAGGCGTAAGAGAACAGGCACATCTGACAGTAGAAAAGATAGTTGTCCCATTCACCAAGATGGAAAATTCAGGAAAAGAGTGAGGAGTGAAGGGAGGAGAGGGGAGACTTCAGCTTTAGACAAGGATGAGTTTAAGATATCTAGGATTTCCAGGTAGAACTGATAGGTAAGGAGAGATATCTGGCTCGAGTTATAGGGTGTGAATCATCCATCTAAGTGGGTGAAAGACATCATCTATAGAAAAATACGTAAAGTGACTAAAGAGGATGACCTAAAAAGGCAGAATCTTGAGGGACCCCACCATATAACGGAGGAACTAAGGAAGAGAAACCTGTTTAAAAAGAAAAACCTGAAGAATGTCTAGAAAAAAATGGGAAGAAATCTAGGAAAAAGGGATGTCACAGAAACCATATAAGGAAGGAAATTTTTTAAAGGGGGGAGTGGTCAATAACATCAGATGCTATAGAGAGATCAAATAAAAATAAAGTGTCCATTGCAGTTGGCAGTTGAGGTAAAAGGGTGTGAGCAGGTGATTAAAGAAGAAACAATAAACAGAAAAAAAATTGCTTTACCTCACTAATAACCAATGAGATATAAATTTAAATAACTGTGAGATATAAATTGTAACCTAAACAGTAGGCAGATTTTTTTAATTGATAAAGTCTATTAGGCAATGCCTATTAAAATTTTGAATATGTTTAATACCCATTGATCCTGCAATTCTGCTTGCAGGAATGGTCATTGAGAAACACAAGTGAAATAAAATAAGTGTAAAATGATATTTATTGCAGGATTCTTTGTAATACTGAAATGTTTGAAATCATATATTCATCAGTGGGGAAATAGTAAATCATGGTATCTACATCCATTATAATAATATATCATATGTATGATATTATATCATATGGTTAAGATTTTATGTAACATGGAAAGGTATCAAAAGCACATTAATGATTAAAGCATTTATGTGCAGAATAGTAAGTATAGTATGATTTTGTAGAAAAAAAAGATAGTGTATAAAAATAAGGAAAAAGTTGAGAGCATGCGCAGCAAACTATTGACAATGGATATCTTGTTTAGGAGGAGCAGAGGAGTCAAATAGAGAAAATTGAAGCATATATTCAAGGCTTATATATATATTCCTATACTGACTATGACTCCCCCCCCAACAATTAGTTTTTAAAAATACTTTTGTAATTGAGAAAAGTAATGTTAAAAATAAGATAATGAAATGAAAATTGTAAAGAAGTAATTGGTGATCCTGATTTGTGCTAATTCAGAAGTGTTTTGGTAGTAGAATTAGAGGGAATGGAAAGTAGTCAGGTAGGAATAGCAACTAGACAAGACTGTGCTTTCAAGACCCTTATCTGTGAAATGTGGGAGACAGCACTAGCTGGAAGGAAACAACATTGAAGATTGGTTACTTTTTTTTTAACAAAAATGTTTTATTTTGAAATAATTTTGGATTTATAGTTAGAATTATTAACTTAGTACAAAGATCTCCCATAAAGCTCAGCCTACCTTTCCCTAGTGCTAGGATGTTCTGTAACTATGGTACATTTATGAAAACTAAGAAATTAACTTTGGTGTAACCCTATAAGTTAAAATAGACCTTATTCAGATCTTACCAGTTTTTCCATTAATGACAGATGGTTGCTTTTAAGACCTACCATACTTGTAAGAGGTCTAATTTGTCTCCTGAAGAACAGAGTGGAATGTATGTATAAATTTATAGCAGCAGCTGTCCAGGTGAAAGAATACTTATATTCTTGGAAAGCAAGATAGAGACACATTCAGGAGCAAGTGGGTAAATCTGTTTCTTTAGCAAATGCTGGGATCAGGTTACAAGATAGCTTAGATTTCCAGAAATTGAGCCCTTCTTTTCTCTTCCTCTTCCATTTGCATTTAGGACACAGAAACACAGATGATCAATACCACCACTAGTTGTATTTTCAGTTTCCTTTCAAGCCTGGGATATGCCACATCTTGAAATCTGTG